ATAGTGATGAACAAAACTGGGATTAAAATCAATGGAGTGGACCAAAAGAAAGAAACAACCAACCAAATAGAAAAGATGAAGAAACAAGAATTCAAAAAACTGAGGAGGCTTAGGAACCTCCAGGACATCCTTAAATGTTACAACATCCGAATTTAGGGGTACCAGAGGGGAAGAGGAAGAGCAACAAATGGAAAACTTATTTGAACAAATAATAAAGGAGAACTCCCCAAATCTGGCAAAGGAAATACACCTCCAGAAGTCCAAGAAGCTCAAAGAGTCCCAAAGAAGGTAGACCCAAGGAGGAATACACTTAGGCACAACAAAATTACATTACCCAAGCTTAAAATGAAGGAGAGAATTCTAGAAGCAGCAAGAGATAAGGGGACAGTCACCTCCAAAGGAGTTCCCATCAGACTGTCAGCTGATTTCTCAAAAGAGACCTTGCAGGGAAGACTGGAAAGAAGTATTCTAAGTCACGAAATGCAAGGACCTACATCCAAGATTGCTCTATCCAGCAAAGCTATCATTTAGAATGGAAGGGCAGATAAAGTGCTTCTCAGATAAGGTCAAATTCAAGGAGTTCATCATCACCAAGCCCTTATATGAAATGTTAAAGGGACTTATCTAAGAAAAAGAAGATAAAAAATATGAATATTGAAAGGACAGCAAACTCAAAGTTATTAACCACCACACCTAAAACAAAAGCAAACTACAAGGACAGCTAGATCAGGAGTGGAGCTACAGAAATGGAGATCACATGGAGGGTTAGCAACAGGGGAGTGGGAGGAGAAGTGGGGAGAAGGTACAGAGAATAAGTAGCATAGACCATAGGTAGAAAATAGACAGGAGGAGGGCAAGAGTAGTGTGGGAAATGCAGAAGCTAAAGAACTTATTACACAGGGACATGAACTAAAGGGGGAAATGTGGGTGGGAGGGGGTGTGCAGGGTGGGGGGAGGTATATGTGGGGAAATGGGACTACTATGATGGCATAATCAATAAAATATATTGTAAAAGAAAAGTTTATATTCTAACTAGTATCTGATACAAATACCATTTTTCATTGTGGTTACGTACCTTTTTCATTTTTCAACAAATTTAGTATTTTTAGCAAAACTGAGAACTCCTATCATTTGTACATTCAATACATATTAAGCTCCTGCTATATGCTAGACCCTTTTAAGTACCAGGTAAACTGTGGCAAAAATAAAACAAGCATGACTCCTCAACTTATCTAATGAAGGATAATGAGCAAGTCAGTGATAGGTACAAATGAGAAGGACCGTGAAGGAAAAGAAGACCAAGTGGTCAGCTAATGGAGAGGTAATGAGAATAAAATACAGTCATGTTGAACAGACTGGATTTTATTAAAAAGCAACCTAATAACTTTAAAAAAATTGCCGCAGGTTTTATTTTCTTTAAAAAGACCACTTCAACTCTGTAATAACTGGCTGAGTACAAAAGTGAAAAGGGGGAATCAATTAGGAAGCCATTGTAGTATCACAGGAGATGGATTACAGTGGATGGAGACAAGTAACAGGTCCTACCACATTCCTAGCTGCCATATACTACCATCACTTACTTTATACTTACCGAGCTTAATTTACATAAGTTGTAAACTGTTCTGAAACAGTTCCGAAATTATTTCAAAGCTATTAAATTAGTATTAAATCTCAAAATAGAGTCTTTTGTGCTGCCAATTAATACTCAGCAAAGTTTATAATAAAAATGTAAAGCCACAGGGGAAAAAAATTCTTGGTCATTTCCCAAATTTAAACCACAGTTTTTATACTGTATCTATCTTATCTTGCCTTGTTTTGTAATTACGATACATAAATTACGATATATAATGGTAGATAAAAATTTAAAAACAACTACAATTCCCAAATTGGGTATCACAGTGATGACCTGCAAAACACCTTTCCCCCCAGGTTTAGGAATGTACTGCACTGCCAGCTTATTTCTACCAGGGTCCTCAATATCCTGCAACTGCTCTTCTCTAGACATTCATTAAACAAGTATTTATTGAGTGCCAACTATGCACCACTTTTAAAATACAGTTTCTTTCTCCATTAAGCAAAGACTAAAGTGGTGGTTGCAATAATCTCCTTAATTGTGGGCATCTGGCTAGAAGGAAGCCAAAGCTTCCGAGCTCCATTAATATATTTTTACCAGTCCTGCCATAATAGCAATGAAAACTGGGAAGGAAAAATGGAACCTAGAAGAAATGGATAATGTGACAAGAAGGAAAGACTCCACAAGTTCCAGTATAATGTTCGCTGCAGACAAAATGGGAGTATAAAACTGAATCTTTCAATATACAAACGAAGCCTACAAAGACTGATTCCATCTTCAGAGTTGACAATATAATAATAATGTCCAGTACAAAGTATAACATATTTGCTGCTCTTTTAAGTTTTACCCTCCACCATTTCGTAACTTTTAAAAACACCCCTTGCTCAATTTCCTCACACTTATTCTAATAAGCACAGCAATTCAAATAAATCTCCAGCGAAATAAACCAGTGTCTACTTGTCACCTCACTGAGAAATGATGTCCATTCATACTTTAGAAATTGTTGAGTAACTTCAGTAATAATAATAGTGATGACCAGAAAATATCTCTTGCTCCATGTTTTACTGGCTGTACCGCAGCTTTTTGGCAATGAAGCAGTCCAAGAATAAGACAAGGCCTCGGTACTATGATTAGTCAATTAATGGTGAATTATCTTCCAATCGTTTCTTTTCTATTTTTTTAATTTATCTTTAGAAGGGAAGGGAAGGAGAGAGGGAGAGAAACATCAATGTATGGTTGCCTCTTGTGCATCCCCCACTGGGAACTGGCCTGCAGCCCAGGCATGTGCCCTGACTGGGAATCGAATTGCTATCCTCTAGTTTGCAGGACAGCACCCAGCCAATTGAGCTACACCTGCCAGGGCCTATCATTTCTTATAAGTTTTTTTTGTTAGTAATTACTTGTTTATTTAATAATGACCAAAGCCAACACTGTCCATCAAGGCAACTGGTAATAAAATCTGTGTCTTATGGTAAGGCATAATTTCCAGGTGGCTAGCAACCTGATGAGCCAACATTTGTTGTGTAATTATGCTAAGGAGAAATGGCTTCTCTGATAATTTCTAATTTTAGGTAAAGTTCATGTAAGTACAGCAGAAAACTATGAAAGCTTATGGGCTCATTCTAACGTGCATTCTCAATCCTCTACAGCAGTGGTTCTTTCAGAATAAGCCATCTATATGACACTGCTAAAAACTAGTTCTTCTCCTGAGAAAAATGTACACAAAATGCAGCAAATAATTTCAGTAAAGTAAAATAACTTGATGCTTATGCAGGGACTCAGGTAAGGAATCCATTATCACTTATACATCCTCCTTGTGAGCCAAGTTAAGAATAGAGTTGTAATAGAAAGGTTTTATGAGCAAGTCAGAGAAGCAAGTAGCTTGCGGGCTCCCGCTAGTGTAGCTCAATTGGCTGGGTGCTGACCTGCAAACTTAAAAGTCGTCAGTTTGTTTCCTGGTCAGGGCACATCCCTGGGTTGCTGGTTTGGTCCCCAGCTGGGTGTACCCAATTGATGTTTTTCTCTCATATCACTGTTTCTTTCCCTCTCTCTCAAAAAGAATAAAGAAAAAGTAACTGGTGGGAAAATTCAAAGTAAGGACCAAGACAGCAAAAATGAGAGATAAGATTCACAGCCATACTCTGAAGCCTTGCTCTGTGTGTGTGTGTACGAGAATGTGTATATAAGCACGTTGACAAGTGTATATATAAAATTATTCATTGACAAATTATTGGGAACTATGTAGCTAACATAGTTCTGCTCTCTAAGGAAGAGAGGAATGACAATCAATCATCCTGATAATCATAAACAGATTATGGTACCAGAATGCAAGAGATACATTTAATGAGGGTCTACAACAAAAGAACCTAGTTTAAAGCTTCACAAAGGCTTCCCTAAAGTAAAAATAAGGTGAAAGGTAACCAGTAAATAAGTTATCTATGTGGAAATTGGGGGGAGGGGGGCAATAACATTAATAAAAATCTTCCATACCCAGGGAATCATAAGCAAAGATCTTGAAGTTGCATTATGAAATAAGGAGGATGTTTCTCTTATTAACTGCTTTCTTCCTGGACTGTTACTTATCCTTTGATAAAAATAATAGTATATTTGTTTTAGGCTTGGGACAATTAAATTGAAGAATATATATGCAAAGCGCTTGGTAAAATGCCTTGGCACACAGTAGAGCTTGATAAATACAGTATTAGTGATGATGAAATTTATGGTTAAGAGGACCTGTGTTCTAGTAAAATTCTCTAGGCATACTCAACCCCAAAATAAATGTTAGCAGTTCCTACAGCCACCAAATACAAATTTCTAAAATAAAACATAAGCAACTTAAATATTTTAATAATTGCTTGCTCTTCATTTTTACTTATATAAATGTGCTACAAAGAGTTCTAGATATGGCATGTTACCTTTTTCTAAAAATTTACAATATACTTTGTCATTGAGATAATTTAATGATAAATTTTGGAAAATAAGTGAAACAAAATTCTTACAATATAATTACCATAGTTTTGAATAGAATGCCACTCAAAATTGATGGGAGTCCAGTTTAGTCCAATAGATCCAGAACTATTGAGAAACTATTCTTAAAAAATTTAAGCCTTGTAAAAGTTTCAAATTAGTCTTATTTAACAAGCTAAAGTGTAATTCAAAAAGAAAATCTTTACATTTCACTTTGTCTCTGACAAAGCAATATATCATCACTCCCCAGTAATAAAGAATCTATCCTTTATGTAAGCCTGTTAATATTCAAAGAAATATGCCTTTTTCAGATATATGCTCTCTCAGATACACCTTTGAGTATTGAGCATATTTTTCCTAAAACTTCATCTACATTTCCTGGCCTGAGATTACTCAATAAATAGGTACAAATGGAGACAAGGAGATACCTAACCCTTGTACTACAAAAATGCAACATTACCTGGAAAACTAGTTTTCATAATATCAATTCCAACTTGTAGCTCAGGTTCCGCAGCAAGGACAGCATAGTCCCCTTGATGAGAGATGTTAAAGTTGAAATTGGGGTAAGGATTCAATGAGTCTTTTGCAAGAACTGGTTTTCCTTTTGCAGTTCTTTGCAAGCGAATATTATTCCAAGGGATATTCAATTTCTCTGCAATTAATTTCCTTATCATGAGACGGCCAGCCTGTTAAGTAAATAAAATGTAAACATTCAGTATATACAGGTACCCTGTCTGTAACATAGAAAGTCAATTTTTGTGGGTTTTAAAATATTTTTTGAAGTTATAAAAAGTACACTGCATCAAGATTTAAGCAATGCTTGAGAAGGTAAAAGTTAATCTTAGCAATTTCCTCACCTGAACAGACAACCAATGTTAACAAGTAGGCATCCTTCCAGTCTTTTAAGTATCTAAATATACGCTCATGTACGTATGATTTTCCTATCTTCACGTGAGACCCTATTGTATATAGTATTTTATTATGTATAACCTTTTTAACCTCTTGGGGATTATTTCATATCTGTACATAACTGTCCGGCCTGTGCCCTATTAGCTGTAGCATAATATTGTATTTCATAGTATCCAGGAAGTTTAAATGGATTTGCTCTAGTTTTGTTAGTGAGTAACCTTGTTGTACCTATATCTCTGCACACACATGCAAACATTCCTAGGTTCTACACATCAGTGATTTTCAACCCATGTGCTGCCAAGAATTTTTAAAACATGCAATATCTGACTATTTAGTTAGGGACACTGAACTCTTTCCCCTTCGACTGTCAAATAAAAAAATGACACCAGCCAACAAAATAGCTGTCGGTGTGGACGAATCAAAATTACACCTATTTTTTTTTTTTTTGGTCAGAGCAGCAAAAAAACTTTTTGGTGTGAGGCAGACTTTTAGTAATTAGTCTATGTGTGCTGAGATGAAAAAGGTTAAAAATCACTGCTATATATTCATCATTCAGTTTCGACAATTAGCTATGCATGATCTATTTTTTTTTTCACATATCCCCTTACCCACTCATTCCCACCTCCACCTAATAATTAGGAAAGGTATTACTAAAATCACACAAAAAATAACCCAAAATACCCATGGGTATAACAAAGTATACAATTTGTAAAATATCTTTCAAGTTTTTTCTTTAATTCTAACACTTTTAGAAACTGAAACACTAAAAAATATTCACCAACGTCTTCAAAAAATATGAATTAGCTCAAATTTCAAATGAAAGGTTTCTCAATATAGGGACAACCTCAAGGAATAAGTGTTTCTTCAAATGACGGTAAATTACAAGCTGTTTCAAACTACATTACAAAAAAGTAATTTTGAGATCCAACTTTCTATTTGTTGCTTAAAAATATGTAACTAAAATAAATAATTCTATTTATTGTTTCCCAAGCCATGTAGCCAGGAAGGTATGCCTGGGAGTGCTCGGTCCATAAGTTCGACTTCTTTGGTAAAAGTAGGCTGGTCTATGTCTCTTCCGGTTCCACAGCGTGCACGAATAAACTAAATAATGAAACTGGAGGGCAACCGAGTCCAGGGTTCATGCTGCCTGTCACCAGTGAAAAAGCAGAGATAGAAATTGGATTAAAATCACGCTTTTATTAATACCAAAGGCTAGCAGTCTGAGAAGGTGGTGGGTTAAAATCCTAACATCTACCTTACCTTGAGGTTTCAGAATCAAGTTTATATAGGGGAAACGTGAAAATCTGGGAAGGGGAAATTCCTGCTGCTTCTCTAGGGAGGAGCTGAAAGGGAAGTCCCCAGCTCCTTCTCAAGCTGGTTCCTTTGTTCCAGTGTTCTCGGGCTGTAAACTGCTCAAACTGTTTAGCCTTGTTTAATTTTCTCTTCTCAGTTTCCCCAATCCACTTCCCCAGGCATTTTCCTAGCTTCTTACTATCCCGCCTCAGTCACACCATCAATATTTTTAGGAACCTATCACGTGCAGGGCACCCTTGCAGAGTGGTGAGCTATTTAATTGGTAGACTAAGTAGGTGCTACGGGCCCATGCAGGAAAAAAAAGGATAAAAATATTTTAAAAAACACTCATGGAGAGGAGAGCCCCAACCATTTCGTATGCCCTCCCTACACTTATTTCATGGTTTAGTAGGGTCTCTATTTGAATTACAACTGGGAGGGGCTCATTTTTGCTCCGGAGCAAGGCCTCCAAAGCAACTACAAAAGCAGTAGAGATCAGACCACGCAGATGTTCGGCAGGGCCCACTAGACTAATCTAGCCCTGCGTCTGGCCCAAGTAGGCTAAAACGCGGGCGTCGACACTAGCATGCGACAAAGTGTCCACAGCCCGGCCCACCTCCCCCAAAATCTCCCTCGGCTCAAAATACCAGAGACGAGTAGTACCATGGCTGCCTTAGCGTCCCGGGCAAAGACGAACTGGCCAATGCGCTCCTTTTCCTCGGGCTGGATCGATCGAACAGCCAGCAGCCACTCGGCTCGGCTCGGCAGCCAAGTGCCGCAGGAAAAGGCCCAGCGTACGCCCTCCATGGCTGAAACCAAGCAGAACCGCCTAGCCTGGAGAACCATACACTGAACACAAAACTCGCCACCACCAGGGCCTGACTGCGCCGTCGCTGAAGGGGCTCCTCCCCCTCCTACCCGGCGTGCATGCGGAGCGGGCGGAGCGTCGCGTACGTTCTAGGGCACGTTAACCTTCTGACCCCCACACGTCTCCGCCCCCAATGCCACCACCTCCTCTGGAGGAAGCGCTGGGGCGGAGGATGGAGACACGCCTCTGCGCTCTGCGGCAACGTGTAACGTCACGTGGGGCGGTGCGTAGGTGGCGAGAGAAAGGAGGGACCAAGACCGGGAGCGGATAGTTAACGCCACTCACACTTGGAAAAGAGCTAACGGGACAGTGGTGCAAGCCAATCGTAATCAGTCTTCTGGAGGCAGAGAAACTGGGGTGGAGACTTCGGATACTGCGGTTGCAGGTGCGTGATATCTGGGGTCTCAGGGAGGAGTGGGATGATAACATCCTAATCCTGGAAGCTAGGATCGGCCCCTGTGACACACAGAAGAGAGAATTCTGTGCCGCTCCTTTGTGTGCTGGATGGGAGAGGTTTCCACGTCTGAGAAAGGACTGCATGGTGCCCTTTGGAGTTGTGCTTTGCGTAGGGTCAAGTCGACTTCCCCCGCCAACCCCCAGCCCCTTAGGTCAAACCCTTCCGCGCACCTAGGACGCTTCCTAGCTGCCGTCCACTCTGAATCCCGCTTTCCAAGATTGGGGCAAAGACGCTGCCCCCAGTGCGGGGCGCCTACTTGGCCTGAAGCAAAGGCTGCCCTCGAGCAGCTGGAGTAATGCTGATCCTTTGTTCTCACCACCAAGTGACTCAGGTGTCGTTTTGCGATCGCCAAGCCTGGAGCAAAACCTTCGGAAGAAAACTGAGGATTCTATTGTTGAGACACCAGTGGTTCCACCATATCACAGGTCCTTGCTCTAAAAGTGGCAGAACCAAGTTAAATAAGTTCAGCAACCCTTCAGAAGTACTCTGTGCCTTTGCTCAGTTATTTTTATTGATGTCTCTTGTTTCCATAGTTGTTCCATGTAGACTGTAGGTGACTCTTACAAAAGCCCCAGTGATCAAAGCCCCTTCCAGGTTTTGGTCCAGAGAAAAGTTAATCTCTGCAGATGAATGTAACTGCTCAACTTTGTGGTAGATTAAATGCTACAGTGACCGTGGGAATCAGATTCTTTTCTTCCTTTGGCTGCCAAGGAATTTTAATTGAAGGCCAGCATTAGTTATCTGTGGATTATCTTCATGCTCTTTAATATGGGTTGTATACTGTTTTTAGCTATACTAGTTTCCATTAGCTTTTCGTGATATCATGAGCCCCCTTCAGTCCTTTGCAGGAAAATGTGATTTTGAACACACACATACACAAATCCGCAAAGGGCTGTAAAATGAATTACTGGCTTTGTGTATTAGTTTAGCTAATGGTATAAAAGTCTGTGTCGGGCTATATTTAAGGTCTACTTATCACATGCAAAGAGTTTACAGTCTGTCAAAGCACATAAAATATACAAAAAAGCTACAAAAGAATAAATGTAAAGATACGTGAAGTATAAGGTATCTACTAACACTCCTTTCAGTGGAGTGAAAGAAGGGAACTTTATTGTAGTGGGTTGAGATAACTTGAGGTGGAGTTAATATAGATGTCTTTAAAGAAGTTTTCTGCATTAGGGAGTAGAAAATGGGATGATAGCTAGAGGGGAATAAAAGGTCAGAGGATACATTTTTGTTCAATGTTTGTTTAAAGATGGGAGATACTAAAATTTATGCACTGATGGAAAATGTCCAGTAGAGTGGGCAAAATTGTTGATGTAAGCAGAGAGTAGTGTGTGTGTGTGTGTGTGTGTGTGTGTGTGTATCTGTGTTCACCACTAAATTGTATTCCAGAGTGGAGGACCATGCCTTTATTGTTTTTGGCTATATGCCCAGTATCTGGAATAGTGCTGGCCAAAGTAATAGCTACTCTGTAACCTTTGTAATATTTGTTGAATAAATGAATGACTTGGACTCTATTTCTCTTACCTTTTTAAAATTCATTCTTCAAACATCAGATACTTAAAACTATTAAAAAAATCATGTCACTGTCCAGTTCAAAGTCTTCCTTGGTCCCAATTGCACTCAAAATAAAACTCCAGGTTCTTGTGACCCCTGGGATCCTGCATGAGGCAGTACTGGCCTCCTGCAGCCCTATCTCACCAAAGTCGTTGCTTGCTCTTACTACTTCCATTTCAGCAATGATAGCCTTCTTTCATTTCTTTAAAGCGAAGGACTCTTTCTCTCTTTAGGGCTTTATATGTGATTTTGTTCAGCAACCCCTTACCTTCTCATCATTCAGGTGTCAATTTAAATTACACTTGGTCAGGATAGTTGTCTCCCCCTAAATATTGTAGTGGATGAGGACAAGGACTCGGGATCCAGGCTGTCTGGGTTTACATCCCAGCTCCTTACTTATTTGCTATGTGACCTTGGGTAAATTAGTTAAATTCTCAAAGCCTCATTTTCCCTGTGTCTAAAATGAGGACAATAGTAGTATCTATTTTACATAGTTGTTTTGAAGATTTAAAGAGTATATAAAGCATATGGTGCAGAGCCTGACATGAAACACTGTGTAAGTGTTCACTGTTACCATTGTTATTAGCTGAAGTTGAGTATATGCCCCCAGCAGAGTTCATTTTTATTTCCATTTTCCAGTTGTTTCTTCATAGTATTTATAACAATTGATGATTTGTCAGTCTTCTAAATACTAAACACAAAGAAAAGCAGGGATCATATCTGATTGATTCTCCATGCTATCTTGAGTGCCTAATTAATACCTGGCATTTATTTAGCACTCTGTGAGAAATATTGGCTAGAATAGGCTAGAAACCATGCTCTATATTGAAACATTAGTTGTGAAATTAATGTTACTGCAAGACCCAATGAAATCAAAGCCGAGATTAGTCACAGCATAGCTTTACTTTTAACATTTTACTTACATGAAGTGGCATTTGCATTTTTGTCATTATATCAAAGGCTTGGTTCTTAGGCTTGATTCTTGTACTTTTATTGATTCAATTCTGTAAGTCAAATTTTAATGGAAGACACTAAAAAGAGAACAAGAAAATAGTAGTTTTGAAAATTGGTTCAGTGTTTTGAAGTAGAAGGTGAGATGAAGCTGAGATGCAATCTTACCATGGCCCTTGGCTAGTGTAGCTCAGTGGATTGAGCTAGGGCTGTGAAAGAAAGTGGTCGCCAGTTGAGTCCCAGTCAGGGCACATGCCTGAGTTGCAGGCCAGGTCCCCAGTAGTGGGTGCGTGAGAAGCAACCACACATTGATGTTTCTCTCCCTCTCTTTCTCTCTCCCTTACTCTTTCTAAAAATAAATAAAATCTTAAAAAACAAAACAAAATATACCATGGTTTTATGTGCTACTGGGAAAGAAAAACGCCATTTTAACTATCACAACATTTTATCACTTTTAATTTTTCAAACTTATGGAAAGCCCTTTGTAAAATAATATCACCCTAGTTCATAAATATTAAAGTGTAAATAAAATTAATTGTGATGCTCTTATAACTTGTTCACATGCATAGTCTTCTTAACTCTTCTAATTCACTTTCAACTCAAAAGTCTTTTTTTAAATACATTTTATTGATTATGCTATTACAGTTGTTCCATTTCCCCTCCTTGATTCCCCTCCACCCTGCACACCACCTCCCATTCACATTTCCCCCTTTAGTTCATGTCCATGGGTCATAACATATAAGTTCTTTGGCGTCTACATTTCCTATACTATTCTTAACCTCCCCCTGTCTATTTTCTACCTACCATTTATGCTACTTATTCTCTGTACCAACCCCCCCCACTCTCCCACCGATAACCCTCCATGTGATCTCCATTTCTGTGTTTCTTTTCTGTTCTAGTTGTTTTTTTTTTTTTTTTAGGTTTGGTTGTTAATAGCTGCTTATATAGGGGAGTGGTGCAAGAGGGGAAAGTGCTGCTTGCTCCACTCTCTTCCGGTTTTCAGTCACTTCCCCTGCTACTCACAATCAAATTTGGCCCCTCTGGTGTTGGTTCCCGTGTGGGTGGGTTTGTGTACGTTCTAGGACCCTGTGGGTCTCTCCAACGAACTCTCCTGTGAGGCTGGGAGTTTCTCCCGCTACCGCGTCAACCCCTACGGAAGTTTTCAGTCAGAGGTTTCAGGCTTTATTTCCTGGTGCTGGAAGCCTGGATTTTGAGGTCTGTTGCACTCCCTAGTTGTTCCTCCTGGTTTGTCACGCAGATGTCAGGCTGCCCAGTCTGCAAGCCTCCAAGCTCACCCGCTCTGCCAGCCGATGTTTTCCTGCTGTCCTCTCCACCCGGCTGCCTGTCTCCACCCCACCTGGATGAATGGTTTGGATGAATGTAGCTCCTTGGTTGTTAAGGAGCTTGTTTTAAAAACAAACTGAATATAAGACAAAACAGCTAAAAGGTACCCAAACCTGAGACTTTCAAAAGGACAAAATCTGTGTTTCTGCATAGTGGCATAAGTCTTGAGAATACCAGTTTTAAAAATCCCATACATAGCTATTCACTTGTAAAAAGTTCTTAAAAGATAAAGTTTTTTAAAATATTTATTTATTTATTTATCTTTAGAGGGGAAGTGAAGGAGAGAGGGAGAGAAATATCACCGTATGGTTGCCCCTCACGTGCCCCTCAGTTGCCCCTGCTGGGAACTGTCCTGCAACCCAGGCATGTGCCCTGACTGGGAATCGAACCGCAGGGCCTGTGCTCAATCCACTGAGCTATACCAGCCAGGGCAAAAAGATTACGTTTTTAAAACAAGCTCCTGGACTTCCATACAGTTCGATTTTCCATCAGTTCTGTGTTTTTCTTTAATTTGTTGTCCTTCTTTTGCTTGTGCAAGGAGGCACACTGTGTCTACCTCTGCCTCTGTCTGGGCCGGAAGTCAACTCAAAGTCTTTTTTTAAAAAAGAGAGGGGAAGGAAGGAAAGAGAGGAAGCTCCCTTCCCCTCGCGGTGCAACCCAGCATTGACTCAACTCAAAGTCTTGATGCCCCCGTGTTTCCACCTGTTCTCTGCTATCAAGAACATTAATGA